CGATCTGGCGGCAACAGATACCATTGGTCTGCATACTAAGTGGAGACAAAAACTTTACTAAATGAACAGTCAGTTTTAAGAATAGATGGCTCGTGATCACAAGAGGATTCATCATTGAAGATGACCGAGTCTCACAGAAAATATTCAGTTAAGATGTACAGGTAGTAACGTTCATTATTTCGCTGTAAGAAAACACATAGAGATGTTATGATAATTAGGCCTGCTCGGAAGCTGTAGCGCCTGGAACTCCGCTACTAACTTCACTGCGCAGCCTGCATTGTTACTACCATCGGAAGCTCTGGCGGACCCCTATAATGAAAGATAAGCCACAGCAAGCATGAGAGCGGAACAAAGGAAGACAGACTATTACCATCGTCTTAATAATGTGTCCAAAGTAAATAAACGCCTGTTTTACCTATCTTCCTTACTCAAGTTTTTCACGTCTGCTCCACACCGCATCCCAAACAAAGGCAATCAAAGGTGCGGCACTTTGAGTACCAAGTGCTTGTGTTCATCCGTAATTATCTCGAAGGCACAGCGTGGTTGCCTGGTCCTAAGTGCGACAAAATGCAACTTTGTATTTCAAGGTTAGAAACGTACGCAATCGTCTTTCGGATCATCAAGTTGATGGAAGCGGAGCCGAGAGGGAAATGAATACTATGATCAACCTGCGATTGTGTCATCAAATGAGACTCTTGGCTAAGAGCTGCTGCTTCTGAAGAGCTGTGACTTTACTGGGCAATGAACCTCGCCAATGGGGCTACCGACTCTAGGCAAAAACCAGTGGCCAAACCCCCTTCCCCAACACCATTCTCAAGCGCAGTGAAACGTTTACTACCACCGTGTTCACAGCTGGTTGCACATTACGAACCGTATAGTCACCCTCAGTGCACCAGACGACGACTCAATACATCGAAGACTGTGCCAACCAGATGTGGGAAGGGTAGTATTGTATCAGCGGCCTTGTGTGTTCTATAAGATGCCCTAATATCCGGGTACGAACTGCTGGCAACTGGCAACAACGACAGTGAATATACCCCCGTCCAGATTGCTGTGCGAGACGTGCTCGTGTATACGCATCCATGTATATTGTAACAGTTGCCAAGTATCAACAACATACGTCACTTCTTGTACCGTAAATTAGTGGGTAAAAAAGCATAATAGTAAATGTTTTAAGACGTAAGATGCAACAAAACTACAGTGGTGCTAAATATATACTTGTACTGTCTTCAATTTCTTTTAAGTGGAAAGTATTTATTATTTCATACTCTCGGTGTGGGAAATACGTCGAGGATGCTGTAGTGTAGTTAATTGTGACATTTTAGCCTCACATTCTTTTAACAAACACGTGATGGCACAGCAGCTTCGAAAGCAAAACAAAGGAGATGAACACAATCAAAGAGAAGCGCTAGAAACCCAATGGATCACCAGCTTTTGCCAAACATGCTGGAATTTACGAAGTGTACAAATAATGATCTCCTAGAAAAGAGTTCTGTGAAATACTACCTAATTAAGTGCTCTAGAATAGTCATAACCAACGAAAAGAGTTGTCATTTCATGAATTGCTTTATTTGTTAGTCAATATATTGCCACATTCCCACCTCAAGCTTTGTTGTTGCCCAGTTTCACTGTCATTAATTCTCAGTGCAAACCGCGCCAGCACTGTACGAGAAGCTTTGGGACTGCAGTAGATTATTTTGTTAAGATTACGCTCACTTCATGAACATTACAGATTATTCTTGAGCCTACGTCGCCGCTAGCAATAAAACAACAATACTCCATGGCAAGTGTAAAAATGCCGAAACGCTTCGCCACTTCTCAGTTTATCAACGGCAGACACGTTGTTCACCGCTATCAGTGGCAGTGTATTGCTGTGATCTGTTCTTTTTTTTCTTTTGGGAGCTACAATTACGGTCGAATAATCAATTTCCTCGGAATATCCAGTCTGCTTCTTTCGTTCACTTCAAGCACCCGTGAAATCTCGTTGAGGCGCTACCCGGCCCATGTACTCCCGAGAAAAAACACTGGTGGTGTGGCACTCGGGGCGAAGTGACGTCACAGCAAGGACTCACTTGCTCCGCGGCCGAGTATCACCTTTTTGAGCACCCGCTGTGTGCCAACTATTACGCGATACGGTGGTGATAGCTGCCCATTGCTGCCATGCAAATCTTCCAAAGTAAAACGTGGTTGTTTACGCTGCTAGCGAAAGTTGGATGACTTGCAGAAAGCTGCGAAAACTTGGCAAACTTGCGTCTGCACGGGAGAGTCACTGTGAAAATTCTGGTCTATTACAGCAACGCATGTGTTAATTTCAACGCTTACGCCAAGAAATCAGTGCTAAAAAGCTTCACGCTGGTTATTCTAGCTGTATTACAACTTCGTGCACACTCCGTGGTAAAAAAATGTGTTCCGAAAAATTGCAAACAGAACTAGTAGGTTCTTGAATTCGCTAGGTACATCATGGATTTTTATGCAGATTATTCGACTGATTTCACGAAGTTGAGCTTCTCGCCAAAAAAATACGCTAGATTTCTCTTCCATAAATAATCTTTTGATACTACTTTTAATGTAGCTAGGATGTTGAACAAAATTATACGGTCACACGCAAGACTTTCAGAGGAATGCCGTGATGTTTGTGTACATAACGTAAGTGTTTTCCTAAACAGCTAGTTACATGGCCGCATGTGACCATAAATTTCAATTTGCATGAGCTGCTGGTCCGTTCAAACGACGCCCCGTCTACAAAGCAAGCGACTGAAATTCAAAATAAGTGGTGTGAGCAGTTTCAATGGCGCCCTCAGAAACGTGGTCTACGTGATAACTAAATGGTCTTCGTCACACTGACAGTTTGTCATCTTCTACGTCGTATTTACATACAAGTTAATGAAGCTCGAGTGTAATAAAATGCAATGAAAGTAGTTGACAAGTGAACGATATACCCAGTGTTTTCCCGATATACCCAATACTCTCTTATACCGATGATATACCCAATGCTTTCCTGAAAAGGTATGCTGAATGGACACCAGCATTGTTGCACATGTGTTTTTGTTCTCACTAAACGACGGCCAACTCTCCAATAACTAGAGAACAGCCAAAGTGATACAACTTTATAAAAGCAGTGCCTGAAAGTTTATAGAAATTACCGTCTAGTATCGTTATTATCTAACGGGTGCAAAATATTAGAGCACAATATAAATAAACACATCATGGAATTTTTAGATGCGAATAAAGTCTTGACAGAGTGCCAGCGTGCATTTAGGAAGGGGTACTCAACTTGAGCACCAATGTAGCTACCATTTGCAATTTTTACATGTCACTAAATCGTGTTAAACAAATTGATGCAATTTCTATGATCACTTGGGCAGGTTTCACAAAATATTACACTGTCAATTATATTTAAATTACGTGGTCTGCTTATCAATCCCCGCCCGGTTTATCGGGTTTCAGCTTGCGTAAATAATCGCCATTGGTTTGTCGCATTTAAAAGCCATCAATAAAACCACCTGCCAGTGTAATCAAGTGTCCCGCAGGGGTCGGCTTTGAGGCCACTATTTTTTACTTTATATATAAATGATAGTGTAAAAGACATCTCTGTAAGAATAAAATTGTATGTGGATGACGGAGTTCTTTTTACAGAGGTTAACGATAAGTCAGATCAGGTACTCTTAACAATAGTTTTCAATGTGTCGCATGATTGTGTGAACGATGGCAGATCAGTATAATCTTCCACAAGCATGTTTTATACAGATAACTCGAAAGAAAGCGGCCTTCATTTTAAATATAGTTTCAACTGTGTGAGTTTGTACGACGTATCCGAACACAAAAATCTTGGGCTATAGATATCAAATGATCTAAGCTATGTGGCACAAAAATATTCGTTAATTGAACTATATATAGAGTTTAACGTCCCAAAACCACCATATGATTATGAGAGGCGCCATAGTGGAGGGATCCAGAAATTTCGACCACCTGGGGTTCTTTAACGTGCACCCAAATCTGAGCACATAGGCTTACAACATTTCCGCCTCCATCGAAAAATATTCGTTATGTTACAACTAATGCTTATAGAAAATAATTTTTGAATGAGAAGGTTAACTATTGCCACAACCGCTCTAAAAAATTTGCATACCTCTCTATTGTCCTACCAGTCTTAGACTATGCTGCTAATATATGAGACCCCTACGATAAAAGTATTATTCTCAAACTTGAAAACGTTAGAAAAACAATACAGTTAATTTTGAATCAATTTACGACGCGGCTTAGTGCGTGACCACGAAGCTCGAGCTAACGCAACGTGCCAAGCTGAAACAAACCGCTCATCACGTTTAAAAAATTTCTTTTGGTTAATCAAGCGGCTTTACAACGTGAACGCTAGCGAATGAATTTCATTCACCTCCCGTTACTGTATGTGCCAAAGACACGAACTTACAATTCCTTCTTTCCGTTCTCATAACGACAGATTCGGGTATTGTTTTTTTTTCGAAATACTCACGGATTGGAATACCCTCCTCAGTAACATTGTTCAAGCAAATCCTTTCACAGAATTTATTTGTTTCTTGATGGCTGAAATATTATAAGTTCTTTTTTGTAGTAACTGTCTATCTGCGTCTGCGTTTCCTGTTGCTTTGTTCCATTTGCACATATTGTTATTGCTTTGCTGGGTCATTGAACATGAATGAGTTAGCTTTAGTGAATGTGTTTATTGTTGTTGTTACTAACATTATAATATTCTATTATAGAAATATTTCTGTACATATATCTTATATTGTATTTTCATTCAAGCATTGAATTTCACCTTTCTAAAACTCCTAAAAAGGTTACAGTACCATTAAATAAATAAATTAGACTACATGGGCACTTGCTAATCCACACCTGGACGTACACCTATATGAGCGCGATTGCTTTCAGCCTCCTCTCCCGCACAACACAGCAACACTTCCATGCAAAAACATGACAGAGCGACAGAAGATCAGTATGGTGGGCAATAGAATGCTACGTACCTTTGCAGCGACGCAAATGAGGCAGGGCATTCCGCATCATACAGAGTGTACCGCGAACGTTCACATTCCAAAGATTATCAAATTGGTCGAGCGTTGCAGTATCCGTGGTCCCTTCCATAAATAATCCAGCGTTGTTAATCTGTAATAAACATAATTTCTTGTGATATAAATTGCCACTGAAGATTTTAGGGCAACGCCTCGTTATGACTTGGGCTGCGTTTTTTCGGATAAGTCCGCAAAAACCTGACAAACACAAGCGAACTACTTCTACAACAATTAGGACTTATCTAATAAGAACTATTTTTCAAAAAGAAATTTCCGATTTTAAATGGGCATTTTCAGGGCTGACAACCATCAATCAAAAGAAACACACCTCCATCAGTGGCAGCAAACTTGCAAAGTATGTTTGCCCTTGTACAAAAAGCTTTAGAGTTGTAATACAAACAAACGTAGGTGTGTTTGGTTCAAGTATTTGTGCTTATATGCATCAAAGTTGCATGATAAATAATTTATACATATAAAACATATTTCTTGTAGTCACATGTTTTTATGCTCAGGTATAATTTTATCAGACATTTTAAGTATTGTGATTAAGTCAATTAGGACATTGATTTCTTCAAGATAAAGGAGGCTGGTAGAAGAGCTGAAGATCAGCTGCAGTAGCTAATGTTGACCCCAGGAGTACGCAGTGCTAATTTGCAACAGTACACAACAGTAGCCCTAATTGCGAGGTAAATGAGCTGTGAGAAACAACTGATGCACGGAAAAACGGGATAAGTAAACGTATAGCATCGCATCAACATAGGCGATAAGAATAATAAGACAATGCAACAACTTACACTCCAAAGTGCAGCGAATTTTAAGAATTGTAAATTTAGTTGAAACAAACTTCCGTAAACGCAAAACTTACTTCACAACAATAAATAGCGAAAAAAAAGGTAGACCCCAGGTACCTTTGGGATCAACTTGATGCGAAGTATGCCAAGGGGGTGTGACTCTGTCGTAGTTTTTTGATTAGGCGAAACGTTTCAAAACGGTGCCAAAGATACCCACAAATGCTGTACGCACAGATGTACGTTTTATTTAACCTGTTCCTTGCAGTTTCACAATGAAGCCTAAAGCAGCACGGGTATTGTTAACAACAGAAGCGGGAAGCTGATACGTAGCGTTTCTGCTCGCGACAATGGCAGCCCTGGCTACTGCTATATAAATCACCTACAGTGGATGACGCTTAACAACTAACAATGTTAGCCTAACATCATAGCTGCATCATAAAAGTACATATGCAAAGTTTATAAAGTGGAATTGCCAGCACTGCAACCACAATGATCGTTTCACAAACATTAAGGTACATTTGAAAATTAGTTCCTATACCTGGTGTACGTCTGTGCTGGAATAGTTCGTTGCCACACAGGATACTGGAGTTCGATTCATCCTTGGACGCTGACATTTATTTGTAACGCTTGCGATATCAGGTTTTTGTTAACACTCACGCTACAAGTGCCCATTTCAGCCCTCGCCGTTGCTGGGCGGACATAAACTTTCACCTATGGCACGTACTTGTATACGTGTTGCACATACCTTCTGTGGCATACGAGGTATGTACTACATGTATCTTGCGGAAAGGATTTGACAACGTACGCGACTGGATTGTCGCATTGCTCGTTTCATGACGAGTGAGTAAGAATTGTCGAAATATCTTGCCCACTGTGGAAGGGTAAACACAGATCTAAATATTGCAGTGTGTTGCATCACGTAAAATCTTGTGTAAAACCTGCTATTTTTCCCAGTGTCTTAAATATATTTAAAATATTACTGCAGCAGGTCAAGAAGCTCTGTCGTTATAAAAAAATTAGAAACTCACTCATACTCCTAAAATCCTTAGCAACGTTTAAAGTACTATCTAGATAAAAGGCTTCCTCGAACAACCAGTCAATGTTCGATAAAATTATAAAACATCCTACAATTTAACAGACTGCGATTTTCAGATCGGCGTCTAACCTTTGATAAAGGGCAAGCGTGTTAGCAATATTTTCCGCGTGCCAAGAAAGAAATAATGCCGTATGACGCCTGCGAGCCGTAAATAGTGAAGTGTGGTATTACTACGCTCTGCTTGGGGTCTGCTCTCGGAAAATTGTGCGCGCACATAGCGTAGGCATCATGTGATAACCAGCGACTTGAAGCTGCGAGCTTTCTTGATTTGTTAACGACAGCTGTTTTCGAAGCGCGTTGCGTAAAGAGAAGAGTGATGGTACTTGAGCTCCCACGGGGGAAGAAGAAACCAAACTGTAAGACCTTCAGTTATTCCATATGTTCCTAAGGTCTCCTGTAACCTGAAAATGGTAGCAGGACAGTACGGTAGACTTATTCATTTTTTCGCGCCCGCAAAACTGTCGAAGTTGTGTCCGACAACTGTTCGAAAGGAGGCGAGCTGGCAGATGATCAGAAACTTATTACTCCCAAAAGAGGGGACCGGCCGAGAGGTCGGTTACGCTGCTTAGAGGAGGCCAGCGGGGATCCCTCGGGACACCGCAGCCTCCAATGCGCGTAAGATTACCCGGCGTTGCTGTGCCGAGTCAGTGATATATAGAAGGGACTCCCATGTATCTTCTGTGTGAGAAGCGTCAGCGTACTGTGGGCACGTCCATGGCATGTGTATGAGGGTGGCCGATTGTAAGCAGTATTTACAGTTTGGTGTCACGAGGTGTGGGTATACCTTGCTATAAAGGCAGGGGTTTGGAAAGAAACCTGTCTGAAGCTTGCGCCACAGGACGGCATCATGTCGAGGGAGGTTTTTATGAGCTGGAGGATAGCAGAGACGGCCTAGTTTGTAGTGCTGTAGAATGTCTGTGAAATTGACCAAAGGAGTTAGTTTTTCGCAGGGCTGAGAGGGTGAAGAATGAGAAGTGTAAGGCGTAAGGATATCCGCGCGGCAATTGAGATCTCGGGAGAGAGTGCGTGCCTGCGCATTTACACTAAAGGATTCATGAGCTGGGGCCCAGGTAAGAAAACGAGGTGAGACAGGCGGGGCGTGATGCTTTATAAATGATTATGCCTGTGTAAAGATACGGCCCACGTCAAAATTTCGGGTGGAGAGTTGGGAATCACTTACGATCATCTTGGTTATTGGATCGGTCATTGCCAAAGCAATGGGAACCACTTCGGCAACTGTTATATCGGTGGAGTGAATCACACTGCATGCCACGCTCCACCCGCGGTGTGGAACCAGGGTGATAGCCACCTTTGTTGATCGATGTGGGTGTCACGAGGCGTCTGTGTAAGTGACACCGGAACAATTTGAGAGACGTTTCTGTAGTTGGTGCGCTTTGTCAGCCCTACGATCCGCATGATGTTCAGGCTGCATGTGCTTGGGGAATGGAGGCATACGAAGTCTGAGTCGTTGATCTCTTGCTACATCTTGGTAAGTGGGGGCTGCCCGCGTGGTGATGAGTCCGATTTGGTTCAATACAGTACGACCTGCATGCATGAGTGAAAGCCGCTGATACTGGGACGTAAGGGTAGCTTCGATAAGCTCAATGACCTTGTCGACACCCCAAGTTTGGAGGTAGAAGTGAACATAGGGAGTCCTAAGGCGGTCTTGTATGCCTTGCAAAGTGCAGTATCGAGGCGATCGAGATCAGTGCGCGTAAGGCGGAGGTAGGAAGCCACGTAGGTGATGCGTGTGCAGACAAGTGACTGAACCAGTCGAAGAAGGTTGGATTTGCGCATGTCTGCATTTTTGCTGGCAACGCGCTTGAGAAGGCGAGAAATTTCTTTGGCAGATTGGTCGATTCGCTGAAGAGTGGTAGAGTTGCCATCATGGGCCTGTAGGTGCAATCCTGAGATGCATATGTGATCTCTTTGGGGAATTTGCATCCCCTGCACTTGGAGATTGAAAGAGACCTGTTTGGGTTTGCATCCCTGTGATCTGATAACAGTGTATTCGAATTTGGTCGCCGTGCAGGACAGGCCTACCATAAAGAAGTAGCTCCCCACGCGGTCGATTGCTGTTTGTAGGGTTTTTTTTCGATTTGGTTATTACTATCTGTTGTAACCCACAGGGTGAGGCGAGCTGGCAGGGATACGGCAACAAACATGACACGACATACGGGAAATGTGCCTAACGCGTGGTGTATGTGATTTCCCTTTCTTTTGGCAACTCGTACATCAGACAGACAGGGCGCTGTATGATGAGCGAGTGAATATAATGAAGGATGACTTGGTGCATTCGCATATGCATTGCAAAACGTGCAAGTGTCGACCCCGGGTTAAGATGCTTAGGATTCTAGGCAGCCGTAGATATTCAAACTGCACGTGCGTTGCTGGAAGCGTATAACATAAGAACGAAAGGAGAAAGGTTTATGAGCGACTCGTCGGTGACGTTGAACGTATCACAAACGATATTGTTTGATAGCTCGATATTGGAACGCTGTGTGAAGACTGCGCATACCTGTATGTTGTATACTCGTTATTAAATGTTATTTGTGCTCACTTTCATTTCTTAGAAGTGCCACCTGTACTAGTCGTTAACTAGGTCTATGAATGGTCTTGTTTGAGAATGTTGATATGCTTGGTGCAATTTAAACAAAATGACTTGCGCGAAGGTAGAGTATTGGCCAAGGGCGTTGACTGTCTTTGCTGTTTTGTTATCTTCGAAAAATTCATACCACAGAGCTCCTTTTGGTCAGCTGGGGTGGGTACTGGATTAGACTGAATAGCTGTGGGATAGCGCTCGATAGTGGCTGTTTAACTGTTGCGTAGCTGTAAGTCAGTATTGCGACATGTTTCGTAGTATTGTAATGTTAAGTACAGTGACTTTTGTTACTATTCACTTAGAATATACTACAATAAATATTTCACATACGGCGCACTGGAATATGCCACTTATAAGGTAGATTTTCTCAGCGCCGCAGAAATATCTAGTGAACGCTGCCTACTATGCGCGTGTCAGTATATCAGTACGTTAACATCTCCTCTGACAAGCAGATCTCTCCATACCTATTGAGATATTGTCATGCGCGATTCTTATTTTTCTTTTTCTATGGGCGAAGCTCCTCTTAGTGTAATGTTAATTTTTCTGCGTAAGGCGCAACCTAGAGAAGAAGAGACGAGAAAAAATTGGTCTCGTATCTCCATGTTACATTGCAAATGTCGTCGAAAGACGATAGTTTTGCGTCTGGAGAGAGTGCACAAAAACTTTATTTCATCTTCTGTGCAAGAAAATCGGTGAACGGTATTCTGAAGGCGCTCCGTTAGAGTGCCTCGAGCGTGCAGTGGAGGTGAATGAGTGCATCATGCCACGTCACAGGTGAGACATGAGCGCTATCTGGCAGTCAGCTTGGAGAACGAAGCACGTGCCGGGCGCACGCGACTGTCTCGGAGGTGATAAGGTGTAGAACGTAAAGAGACGGGTAGGTGCCACCACCGTGTCATCTTAGTAAAGCGTTGGAAACAGTTGCCTTTTCGTGCAAGTGTTGCATTGTCAGTGCAACGTGATCAGAGCTATGGCCCTCAGAATTACTTATGTATGCCTTTTCTAGTAAAAAGACACACACTAGATTGACGCGTTCTTATGGTGCCTCAGATAAGCGCAATAATTGCTAAGGCCATGTAGTTGGTTGGGGTTCATCATTTATAAGGGTATAGCCCACCACGACAAGGACACAAAAAGAGAGACACACGCACACACAGCGCTAATTGCTTTTATACATAGTAGAGTTTCTTAGGGTTCCTTGGCGCAAAAAATTTGGTCTGTCACTACACTCTTCTGTTTGCACACCTTTAACGGCACCCTAAAAGGCACCGGAGTGACCGGCCGATAGCCCAAACGGCCGGCCCCATCCACAGCGCCCACCAATATTGCTCAAGGTTCAGCGTTCATACTTGTGCGATTCTCAATTAAGAAGCAATTATTGCGCATATCTGAGGCGCCATAACAAGACCTCAATATTTCGTATGTATATCGTTTACTGGACAAGGCACACATAAGCAATTCTAAGGACCGTAAAATTTTTCACGCTGGGCTGACTATGCACACTTGCATAAAAAGCAAGTGTTTTCAACGCTTTGCTAAGAAGACACGGTGGTGGCGCCTACCCATCGCTTTGCGTTCTACACTTTATCACCTCCGAGATGGGCGCGCGCGCTGCGGGCGCGCTTCCTTTAGCGAGTGAACTGCCAGATTGCGGACATGTCTCACGCGTGATGTGACTTGATGCGCTCGTTCGCCTCCACTGCACGCTTGAGGCATTCTAATGCAGCGCCTCTAGAATATTATTCACCAAATTTCTCCCGCAGAACATCAAATAAACGTTTTGTTCACTCTCTATAGACTCAAGACTATCGTCTTTCGACGACATATGCAGTGTGACATGGGGATACGGGGCCAACTTTTGTAATGGAGAATCGCGTAGGTAGGAACGCTGAATTTTGAGCAATATTGGTGGGCGCTGCTGATGAGGTTGGCCGTTTGGAGTACCTTTTAAAACCGTTTAGAGTATTGTTGAGAGCGTACATCCAGACAATTGTACGGAGAGGCAGACAGACAGACCAAAATTTTTGTGTTGGAGGTACCCCAAAAAAAACTATCGTCTTGAAAAGAGGACGTCACTATCTCTCTAGCAGTAAAACAGATGGCGCTGTTTTATAGAAGTACATAAAGTAACTGTATATGGTCTCTATACAGCTACTCTAGAAGTATATACAAACGGCAGCTGAGTGAGGAATTCTAGGTGACGCTGTGCTGCTACGCCTATTGGCTGCTGCATGGGTCGTGTCTAGGTGTACCAGGAAGGAGTGCCTCTATGTCTCTTGGAGTGCCGCCGTACGTGGTAGATCGTTAGTGGAGCATGGACGAAGCTGAAAGGCAGACGCGGGGCACCGCGGTAGCGCGAGATTGTCGCCTCGTTGGTGGGGAATGGACGAAGCGGTGTGGAAGGCCTCGGTGGCTCGGGCTCGTCGCCTAACAAGAAGACAGACAGACAGACAGATAGACGGACGTGCATATACACAGACAGACAAACAGACAGATAGACAAACAGACGGACCGATAGACGCTTCGCCCCACTCTTCATCACTCACACTGCGGATATGATGTGATTTTTTTAATTGGTACTTGCCCACAAAGCCTCTCCAGAATGCTCCGCACAAACTGAGTGCAAGAAGGTTCGCAATATTTGTAGATCATTTTGTTGAGATTGCCCGCGAGACGCGAACACTGGAGAGTATTCCAGAACTTGCGCGAAGGCAAGTGATAAAGCTGCAATATTCGACGACACTTGTATAAAGCCAACGCGCTTCGCCGCTTCTCAGTTGATCGATGGCTGACATCCTGTTCCCCACTATCAGTGCCAACGGGCATCGCAGTAACCTGACTTTCCGTTCACCGACCTAAAGTTTGACCAAAGCAACAGTTTATTTTGAACAAGCACTATGTGCTTTCGTCGACGTCAGGTAGCCCTCACAATATTGTGACGCGATCGTGACGTGCGCGAAGAGAGGTGACAGCAGGTCTAATATTAAACTGTTGGCAAAGTAAAAGAAAAGTCGGATTACAGCAAGACGCTAAAATCGATAGCGGCGGACAGATCATTGCTTGTCCATCAACTTAGCGGCAAAGCGTGTCGGCATGTATGCATTTGTTATCGAATATTCTAGCGTTATCACTAGCAGCGACATAGGTTTCACAATAATCTGTAACGTTACCGAAGCGAACGTACTCTTAACAAAATGATATACTGAAATTCTGAAGCTTTTCGAACACTGCAGGCGCATTTTGCATTGACAATTGCTGGCAGTGAAACGCTACGATAACAGATGTTGAGGAGGGAATGTGGCATTATTACATCGACCCATTGACTACTTCTTAGACACCACAGTAAGACAACACATGTCCGTGGTAGGCACCCGTCATACGTTCTACTTTTCTCGAGAACGCCACGACACTCTGTTTGAAGTCTTATATTGCGCCACAACCTGCTTCGTGCTGACTGCTGCGCAAACCTTTAGCCCTACCCACATTACATGGAATAGGCGGAATTGTTCTAGTGTTGTGATATTTAATAAATAAACTATATTTAACACAACTTTTGTGCGTGTCCTCAATTTTTGTGTTGATGGTAAATTTTGAAAGCTCGTCTACCACCAGCAGAAGCAAGTAATTCTGATTACTTAAAAACTTCCGAGCAATGACAAGTGTTTTGATTACTAAAAAAAACTGCGGCTAGCGTAGTCTAAGCTTGTTTGCTCAGGGCCTATAAATGAAAATACAGGTGAATAAAATCATTCAAGTAGTTTTCAAAACGGTACATATAACAGAAGGCGTCAGGTAACGCACTTCACACTCACAAGAATATCAATTTTCCCGAAGTGTTTGACTGTTGCCTCGACTACGTTGGCGACATCATTTTCCTTCGAAATGTCTCCTGGGATGACGCATACCTGAAAAAAACGAAGGTGCAGTTGTATTTTAAAATGATGGCAGATTTAGCTTACATTCTCTTCACTTGCATCGCTTGCTCAAAGTAAAATGCGTCCTCTCGAAATAACACTCAAGACTCTCGCTTACTCCGTGCGGTCTCCGAAAAAAAACAAAAAACAACAACAGAGGGATCATTACACAGAGTAAACATTTTTTTTCCTGCCACTGGACACAATTAATGCACACATAATTTACCCATTTCGTGACAAACCATTACAAAAGAACGCCACACAGGGCCTTTCGACCTCGACTGTTCTCCCAGTCTGTAACGTCATTTCTCTTCTATTTCTCGCTTGGCATTGTGCTGTTAGGTCACCGACCTGCACCATGTCGTGCGATCTATGTCTACAGTCCCGGTGTACCCTTATAAACGTGTTCTGCTTTGACGCAAATTAGTTGCGTAAAAGTATCACGTGTGCACGCAGTGAAAACTTTCTCGCATGTGCAATGCATGTGATTTACTTCGGACGTGTTTATTGGGTGGTATATCTGCGTGTATAATTCTTTCGTACGCTTATATCTCATAAAACCTGGGTGTCACTTAACGCCGGCCTTCTGTAGGAAGTGCCACAGGTAGTGTTGGCATAAGATTGAGTCGTGACACACCAAGCCAAGTCTTTCATTAGGAAAGCGACCACAAAAATGCATGATGATGATGATTCTTACATTTTTTGGCGCAGCTGTGGATACAGCAGTCCGCAATCAACTGCTCTTCTTTTCCTCGTCTGTTAATCTCCAATATTGTACGGACCTTACAGGTGATAACGTTCAAATCCAGATCACGTTCTTCTTTGTCTGACCACTTGAATACTTTTCCTTCACTCAATGTAACTAAACAGGTGTACACAACTTCGTGTGTTTCTGAAAACACCTCTTGAACACACGTTAGTGATTGAATTGATATGGGCGCGTTAAGAACATCCAGGATTGTGTCTTCGCCAGCTTTTGATATTGTTACGATGCATCATCAACAGGAGCAAGCGTGGCACTTAGCGAAGATGAAGAAGACGCCTGTGCGTAAGGCGCTTGCACCAGAGGCAACTAAGACATCTTGTTCGGCTGCCAATTTTCGGTGGCCGCTGTCCTATAAGCCAAGACCTCACCCCGTCACATTTGGTGGAGGTGCTGGGTAACCGCCTCGCAATGGAACTTCGTAGCGGCCGACGTTTGAAGGGTCATTCCACAACGATGACGGAGAGTACGGCGTCTGCATCTGCTCCTGATGTTCCTGCGGCCGGAGATGATGCGGTAACTACATCTCCTTCTGCGACCACAACCTTCGTGCTCGAACCCCCGTGGGATCCTAGCATGTTCAGCGGTTCTGGCGATCCATATGAAGTTGACGTTGAAGATTGGCTGGCAGAGTACGAACGTGTGAATTCTCGATACCGATGGGGCACGACTCTTATGCTGGTAAACCTGCTATTCTATCTTAGGGGCACCGCCAAATCGTGGTATGAGAACCCTGAAACAGATCTTGGGAGTTGGGCAGTGTACAGGGAGAAATAGCTGGACCTGTTCGGAAAGCCGATTGGAAGAAAAATGGCCGCGAACAAAATGCTCGCGTCTCGGGCGCAAACCTCGACCGAGTCTTACGTCTCCTATATAGAAGATGTGTTGTCGTTGTGTCGCAAAGCCAATGCCGAGATGGCGGAGGCTGACAAGGTCGGGCATATTCTTAAGGGGATTGCGGATGACGCATTCAACCTCCTCATCTGCAAAACTTTTTCTACAGTGGACGCCATTATAAAAGAATGTCGGCACTTCGAGCAAGCGAAGAGCCGGCGGATTAACAGCGTGTTTACCCGCCTTCCGAATACGGCTGCAACATCATCTTGCGAAGACCATGCAAGAACACAGCCACCACTTCTAGATTCATCGGATCAGGTGACCCGAATTGTACGGCGCGAACTTGAAGCCATTGCCTCTGCTCCGGCTCACACCGCTGCAAGTGACACCACCCCACTCACTGCTAACATGGTTCAAGCCATCGTCCGCCAAGAACTTGCCAGCATAAGTATTCCCTCGGTGTGCGCTTTGCCCAGCCCGCAGCGAGCTTCATGGCGTCCACCCCCGTCCTATCACGAGCAGCAGTTTACGGCCCGATCTCGCGACCCTGCTGCGTGGAGAACCGTCGACAATCGACCAATTTGTTTTCATTGCCACCGTATCGATCATGTCGTCCGTTACTGCAATTACCACTGGTCCTCGCCACCTCAGACTTCATCTCAACCTCACTACCGACAGGACAGCACCCGCTTCGCATCTGCCGCGCAGCCTTCTCCGCAAAACAACTACAAGAGGTTCAACAGCCGATCTCCGTCACCGCATGGTCATCAGTCGCGTTCGCCTCCAGGACTTTGTCAGTCGTCTCGCTCACCGCAGACTCGCAGGCCGTCGTCCCCATTCAACCCCGCTCCTGCCTACCCGGAAAATTAAACGGTGCAGCGCCCGGAGGTGACGCTGCATTTTCGACTCCCTCCACAAATCCTCTCTTGACGCTTCCGACGAGACAAAATTTGTTAGACGTTGCCGTTGACGGTGTGCCTATTTCCGCCCTTATAGATACTGGTGTGCACATATATGTAATGAGCGCGAACCTTCGCCGACGCCTACATAAAGTGCTCACGCCTGCCGCTTCCCACAAACTTCGTGTCGCTGATGGGAGGACCCCTGATGTTTAAGGGGTGTGCACGGCCCGTGTGTCCATTGCCGGTCATCCTACATTAGTTCAGTTTGCCGTCATTGAAATGTGTCCTCATGACCTAATACTTGGTTTGGACTTCCTGTCACGTCATTCTGCGCTCATTGACTGTGCCACTGGTTCTCTTCAGCTTGAACTGCCACAGTTTGCCGATTTTACAGCAGACTATTCTCCCCGTTTATGCTCCCGTCACTACGTTCGCTTGCCTCCGCAAGCTGCTACATATGTCACTTTGTCGTGCTCACGTCATGTGCCCGAAGGTGACTACCTCGTCACTCCTATAGTCGACGCACTAATGACCCGAGATGTCGCCCTTGCTCACACTGTTGTCGCCGTCGCTAATAATACAGTGGTTATATCACTACTCAACGTGAGTCTCTTGACGCAAGTTGTTCCGCAAGACATGTCTTTGGCCACCCTATCTCCACTTGGCAGCTGCAACGTTACTGATTTGGACACCGATACTACATCCCCCTGTCTTGGCCGCAAATACACTCTGCCTGCAGATAACATTAACAAGATGATTGCTCCCGACCTCACTGCAGTGCAAGCTGCCAGCCTCCGTAGTCTGCTAACATCATATAGAGATGTTTTCGACTTCGACCACCACTCTCTCAGCCAAACAACTGCAGTGACTCACCGGATCAACACTGGTGATGCCAGTCTTATACGGCGGCTTCCATATCGCGTATCTCACAAGGAAGGCCAAGTAATTCAAAATGAAGTGGATAAAATGATTACTAAAAACGTAATAGAACCCTCATCCAGCCCCTGGGCCTCCCCAGTTGTGCACATTGAGAAGAAAGATGGCAGCTGGCGCTTTTGCGTGGACTATCGCCATTTAAACAAAGTGACCCACAAAGATGTCTACCCTTTGCCTCGGATTGATGACGCCCTCGATTTCCTCCATGGTGCCCAATACTTTTCGTCTATCGACCTTCGATCCGGCTATTGGCAAATTTCCGTCGACCCCATGGATCGTGAAAAAACCGCTTTCGTTACTCCCGACGGCCTCTACCAGTTCAAAGTCATGCCGTTTGGACTGTGTAATGCGCGGGCAACTTTCGAGCGCATGATGGACTCCCTTCTCCGAGGATATAAGTGGTCCACCTGCCTATGTTACTTAGACGATGTCATCGTCTTTTCACCTACCTTTGACAGCCATATAACACGTCTGTCAGCCGTTCTGGATGTTTTTCGAAGAGCCGCTCTCCAGCTCAATTCTGCAAAATGCCATTTCGGACGTCGCCAAATCACCATACTCGGCCACTTTGTCAGTGCCGATGGTGTTCAACCAGATCCCGAAAAGGTGCGAGCAGTACAACAATTTACTGAACCACGCTCAACCAATGACGTCCGAGGTTTTGTAGGGCTATGTTCCTAGTTTCGTCGATTTGTCCGCAACTTCGCTGGCATCGCTCGACCGCTTACTGATCTCTTAAAGAAGGACGTTCCCTTCGCATGGAGTATAGAGCAAGCGGACACCTTTTCGGCTCTTATCCATCTGCTGACTACGCCACCAATACTTGCCCATTTCAACCCAGCATCACCTACAGAGCTTCGGACTGATGCCCGTGGCCATAGAATTGGAGCGGTCCCTGGCCAACGACAGCACGGGAAGGACCGCGTGATTGCTTACGCCAGTCGTCTTCTTTCACCTGCCGAACGGAAGTTCTCCATCACTGAGCGCGAATGCCTAGCTTTAGTGTGGGCCGTGGCGAAATTCAGGCCTTACCTGTATGGCCGAACTTTTTCCGTTGTTACGGACCATTACGCTCTTTGCTGGCTGTCATCATTAAAGGACCCATCTGGACGTCTTGGTCGCTGGGCGCTCCGTCTGCAAGAATACTCATTCGTGGTCCACTACAAGTCGGGACGCCTCCACACAGACGCAGACTGTTTGTCACGTTATCCGGTTGAAACGCCCGACTTGACAGACCTTGATTCAGACCCCTGCGTTCTCTCCATCCACGCTTTGGGTGATATCTCCACCGAACAACGACGTGACCCGTCGATACTCTCCATTATCGAGCGTCTGGCCTCTGCTCCAACAGACCCTTCTGTTCGCCTGTTCGAACTGCATGACAACATTCTGTACCATCGCAGCTTCAACGCTGATGGCCCGGAATTACTACTCGTGCTTTCCCATCACCTGCGTACCAGCGTTCTCGAACAACTACATGACGTACCTACAGCCGGTCACCTAGGCGTCTCTCGTACCTACGATCGTGTGCGACGTCGCTTTTTCTGGCCCGG